AAAATCTTGAAACATAGTTGAATTCCTGCTGGGAAAGGAGTTGAGATATTCTTCTGTGCACTTGCAGAAAAGAAAGTTTTCGGAACTCAATTATAGGCAGAAATGACTTGCTAAGATGTTCGTGTGTTTTTGACCTAAGGGACAAAATTACTTTAGTCTCAATGGCATGTGTTTTCCTTCTGGAAGGCTGACAAAACAGGCCTGGCAGCTGCTGTCACCCGAAAATAGCGGCAGACTTAGAGGCGGGAGAGAGGCCGAGTGACGCTCCCACATTGTTCACTCTGTTGCACTGGGCACGGTGAAAGTCACACACGATCCCGTTGGGCACCAGAGTCCACAGGTGGCAAACAGCCTCCTGTCTCTGCAACAAGGCCACAGGGCATGTTGGTAAAATACCCATTACATATAAACAAGACTGACATCTAATCTGAAACCAAGAGTCAAGTGGGAATGTCAAGAAAAGGGCAACATACAGTAAAATGCTGTTTGAGTCCTTTCACACTGAGCTGAGCACTGTGGAAAATGTGTGATAATAATGCAGCACTAAACTGAATTCTCCAGTCGTGTAAAAGGACAAGTGCTTCCATCACTTCCGAATGGACATTTCTGCTGGAGCATCGCCCTTTGACAGAAGAGAGCAAGTCCCCAAAAAGTGTTTAGTGTTTTTTCTCTCTCTCTCTCTCTCTCTCTCTCTGCTTTTTTCACTCTCATCAGACAAAAAGCTTTTCCATGTAGTGGTACAATTGCTCACCGAGCCTCTCAAAGGTGGAAGGAGGAGGTGAGTTTGTCTGCCTGATGAAAATGCCTTTCTGGCCCACCTATAATTTCGCTCTGGCGCTCCTTCCCCACAGCTGCTCCCGGGTGACATCAAATCTAGATGACAGCAGTCAAGACAAAAGTTGACTCCTTGAGCCTGTCATCCAATAGGACTTCTTCCACATGTTGACCCCGGTAATCCTAGACAACCATGAATCTGCAGCACTTTAGCACTTTTTGTTTGACAGCTGCTGGTGATGACTCTGTGGACACCTTTTGCACCTGTATGCCACTACATCCCTGATCTTTCTCTGTTTTGTGTGGCGTCTCGATGCAATTAATTGTACAAATAGGAATAAAGATGCACTCTTTCCTCGCAATTTGAAATTGCATGAATTTTCTTTTCATAAAAACGCTGAATAGTGCCAAATACCGGAATTTCGAAGTAGCCTAACTTATCTTATCTTAAAATAACAATAAGTGCATGCCCAGCTAAGAAATGCAGTGACTATGTCAGAATCCTGTCAATAAAAAGAGTTAAAACCGAGCAAAAACAGCCTACAGTTGATCGTCAATGCTAAACAGTTGGAGACAATTTATCCAAGTCTGACTTTAACATAATTGACTCTGTTCTACCTGTGACTGCGCTTGGGGTTAGGGGGCAAAGACAGCAAAGGGAATAGTGCCAGAGGGCAGCTGTGTGCTTCCATTAATAGAAAACCTTTCTCTGGCCAGAATAATAGCTTTGCGACATCCCAGCCCCCCCGTGGGCCGCTAGATCTGAGCGCACGTGGGCTAAATGTCACTCAGCAGGGTCCCATCATTTAAGAGAAATCACATTTTCCCCCAGAATACACTAACCTCAGCCTCGCTCCATCACACACTCCCCATCTTTCAATTTCTTGACGATTACGTTCTCGAGGGAAGTGCGACAGAACAGGAAATAGATGCATGACATTACAGGAGACCCGCTGGGTTTCTTGGCACAGGTACAAGCTGCAGCCACCTGTTTAGCCCCCAAAGCGAGTATTGTTTGTTTTGACGCGAGCAAACAGTAATGTGATGAATAGGGAGGGTGGTCCTGTATGATGCAAAAGTGACTGGGGGGGAGGGGAAATGCAATAATGCATAAACTGACAGATGGGATCCTTCCGTGTCCCCAATCTGGGGGAAACTGTGTCCTTACATGCAGCATGCTGCTCATCTGAAATTAGAGAATAAACACAAGGGCCTCGCCTTTTTTATTGTATTTGAGTGCATGAGGAGTGGAGCACTGATATCCAGCAGATAAACCTTTACAGACTGAAAGGTCATCAGGAAGTGTCCTCCCTGCTAATCAAATAGCCCTGAAGGCAAGGTTTGATCTTTCACAATCTGCTGAGATGTGAGCTGGCCAGCCGGGGAAATGAACATCAGGCCTCTGGGCCTTCCACAGGGCAGCCTGCACCTGTTTATCACTCAACATCCACAGTCAGAGGTAAACAGCTTGGTGTGCAGTGCCCTGTGTAACATGAGACATTTGGTTGAAATGTGTCATGCTGCAGTTGTTGAGGTTAATACCTCAAATTTCAGTTTGAAATGCCAAATTATAAGAAGTCAGAGAAAAAATATAACCCTCCAGATAAGAAGATACGTGATGGTAAGATCTGATAAGTCAGACAACTCACGTCATGCACTTTAAACATTAACCAGCTTCTTAACCTTTGTCACATGTTGTATCCTGTGTTTGTAGAGCAAACTGGACAGAAACATTCAACAGAGGTGATTTATAAGTTTATATTTTGGTTTGGGCCTTTTGAGTTTTGTCATCACATACTCAGTCAGTTGGTTTGTATATTTTGTGTCCCTGATTTTATATGTTTGTTTGCTTATTAATATTATTATGACATTATCCTTTTCTTTTCTCCCTTTTGTAACACATATTTTAACAACTAAAAATAGTTATACAAGTAATTGACCCTGGATAGACATCACCCACTGTCTGTTTGACTGATCCAAAAACCTACATCAAAATTGCAAAATACTGCAGGCATCCTGCGGCTGAGAATCCTTTATGCATAATCCAGGTCTCAGCTGTCTTTAAGGGTTTAGATTTATTATGTCCTTGACTTCATCACCATCTGCACATAAACATTTGAGCAGGTCTAACTGGTAAAAGCAATTAGAAGACACACATTTCAGTTTGCTTCACGTGCATCAAATGTATCACCAAAAAAGACCTGACATTTCTAGAATTTTCTTCCCCGGTAAGGAGAGGTAAAGTTCACCCTCCACTGGTCTTCATTAATGAAGGCTGCACGTATAAAAGAGGTAAAGATTATTATCCTGGTGTGAAAAGCAGTTTCAGAGCAAATAGGCTGCTTGCAAGAACTACATTTCTACAGAAAACAACAACAACGTGGGTGAAGATGTGGGAATAGCAGCTCACCCCTACTCAACAAACACACACACAGCCACAGTAGAAGCATAAAATAAAAACACACACACAAACACTCATTTAAGCCTTCCCATGCTCTTACTCCTCGGTAAAACTACCTCTCAGATGGCCTGGAAATAGGCTTTAATGTGCCCCCCACCCCCAAACAGGCTGACATAGAAAACACACATCTGCCGTGTTTAGGTAAGCTGCAGTTGCCATGGATACAGACGAGCACTCGCTAAACAGTTGTGTGTCGGGCCATCATTGAGACAGGGCACTTGAGCTGTGTACACAAACACACACACACGTACGTGTAAGTTTATGGGAGCGTTGGTGGTTCAAACAAGGAAACGCAGGATGGCAGTCGAACTGATGTCACGCCTCTGTTAGCAATATGTTGCTGTCAGCATTAACTGTCACTAGCGTCTCTGCTCACGACGAACTAATAGAAGATGCCGTGGGGACAACCTGAGTTCAGCCTGAGTCATCAGAGCTTCATATGACATTTGGAGGAAGGTGAAGAAAATGTGCTGTTTTTAGCCCAAACTGAGGGCGAAAAAAGGGGTTTTTATTCCGTTCCTGGTATTAATCACCTTCCTTGCAGAAGCTTACGGCTACGCACATCATCTCAAAACAACAACAAATGTTTCACTTCGCTGGGTTTGAAATGGCAACATCCTCTGAAAGCAGCAACATACACACATTATTCTTTATGCACATGTTACTAATGGACTAATACAAATGTATCTTTTTATCCTTCCAACCTAGTCCCTGGCTTTTTTCCCCCTCCAGTTTTTGTCCCACAAACATGAGCTAAGTGGTTCGTTAATATTCCACATCAAACCATAATGTTCGAGTGTGGCTGCCCACCCAGCATCCATGATTAACAACCTCCACACATACACACACACACACACACACACACACTGAGCCAACTGGAGATGCTGCACCACATTTAGGGAGGTGGGTGAAAGCGGGATCAGCCCCGAGCACTGCGGCAAGCCTTGGCATGGTGCTCCCACTCATGCCATTTTATTTCATCACTCCTGAGTCCTACTCTTGCGTTGCCAAGTACTTATAGCCAAATCATCAAACACTCTCGCAAAATAATAAAAAACAGAAAACAAAGTATAGCAAAACGCCCTCACGCGAGGTGAGACAGGTTACTCATCCTTCATTTAAATCTCGCTGTACAATACAAGATAACATGTGGTGGAAGAGACATGTGTTCTCCACGTGACACTGTCAACAGACACACCAGGCGCCATGGCAACCCTTTCAGCTGACCAAATGCAATTGGTAAACTGTACATGTCTCTCCCTCCCTCCTTCCGTCCTTCTGGGTCTGTTTCTCTCCGCTGTCTGAGGGCATTATGGGGTGGTATGACCTTAATACAGTCTTTAATCTCCTCTTTGGTGTCCCGGCTTTGTTTTGATGTATCTGCCTCCCCGTCTGAGAGATCAGCTAACAAGATATGCACTTGCAAACTGGTATATTTATGCGTCGGTCAAGCAGAGATAAATTTAAGAAACATGCAAGCGTGCTTGATTTGTGGCTTGTCAGGAGCGACCTCCTCCTAAGCAAGGTTCCTGGCTTGTCCTATAATAACAAATATTTTTCACAAGGCTCCTTCACAAACAAATATACGATGAGGGAGTTCAGCCCGAGTGTCTAGCTGTCTTGAGAAAGTTTGGGGGTGATCATGATCGACTGTCACGCTTCATCTCACTGACGTCTTAACCGACAGCCTGCTACGTGTAGGCTAAAGTAGCTCAAGATGTCAATCACAGATTAAACGAAGGATGATGACTGAGTGTGAACTCACCAGGACTCTTCCTGTCAGTGTCTGAGCGGATATCATGACTCCAGCCCAGTCTTTTACCGAGGTCATCCAGCCCACCTCGCTGGCCGCCGGATCGTCCTTATCAGTTCGCTTGATGCCATCACCTGTCGTGATCCGATGGACCTCCTCAGAGAAAGAAGAAACAGAAGGTAAGATAGTGCAAAATGACACTTGACCAAAGTATAACAGTAAATGATTGCTAACACATTATAAAACAGCCCACAACTTACAGAATGATTTTGTTGTGTGAATCAGGTATGAGTAAAATAATAATAATGGTGTAACACTGATATTCTGCAGAACTTGTAAATTAATACAAAAATGCAATGAGCAATGTGCATTTGTTTTTATTTCACTGTAGTCAATCCAAAGACCATAAACTGGTTGGATAAATTGCCTTTGTAGTGGGCTTTAACCCGTTACCTCCCCTATAAGTACATTGCTGTACTCCATAAATGAATGACAATTCCCGCATTATTCCAAGATCTAACATTTCCACCCCAAAGCTAAATGATTTCGATGTTCTTTAATAACAAACATTTTGAGAGATTTCCCAGAAGCCCCTTTCATTACCTTTGTGTTCACTGGCTCTTTTGGTAGCATATCATAACTGTGAAATATGTTACACCATAATTACTTCATAGACTCTGCAGAGTACCAGTGTTTCCACTAGTACTGTACCCTGTAGATACCTAGTTTTTACAAAATAAAAGTTTTTTCTTGTTCCCATAGTCTTGTTTTTCTTCTACTGTACTTACATTTAAGTACCAGTACAAACCGGTAAGTATTTTATTAGTACCTGATTCATACAGTAAAATTACACTGTGAATGGTGTAATTTGCTGTATTATAAAGTGTTACCAAATTATTAATTTCATTTTATCAACATATTTTCGTCCAGGTAGCATTTAGGCCTCAGCATGGAGACCAATAAAGACAGAGGGTGCCAATAGGTAGAGCCACATGGTAGTATTAGTGCTCCAGTTTCCAGCAGTGAAGAAGCTTGTTGGTGTTTCTGTAGTGTAATGTGATATTTTAATGACAAGTGCATATATAGCAATAGCTTTGAGTAAACCAGAAACATAAATTAGCAAACAGTGAAAAGCAGCTGCTAATAACAGTACAGGTAACTGTTGGGACTCTCACTGTTTTGGCTCACGCTTACCAAATGCACAAAGAGTAGCTTCTTCTGTCAGTATGTATCATCGCTAGTAAGTGAAATGTTGTTGCGCACATCATAGAGACAAGGTCAAGATTTAATTCTAACTTTAAACGTCCAGTGTGTACCATTTAGGAAGATCTATTGGCAGAAATTAATATAATATTGATAGGTTTGTTTTCAGTAGCGTATTAACCTGAAAATAAGAACCAATGTTTTTTTTTTTAATTATAGAATGAGTTCTATCTACCGAGGGAGTGGGTCCACTTCTGCGGAGGCTGCTATGTTGAACCGCCATGTTTCTACAGTAGCCCAGAATGGGAAACCAAACACTAGCTATAGGTAGATATGGACTAGATATGGCGCTTTACCTTCACACTTGGAAGCTAAGCTGTATTCAATTGGTTGCAATCTTTAATTTCACTGCTAGATACCACTTACTCCTACACACAGCTAACAGCCACAGTTCCTCGATTAGCAAGGAGCAAGTAGCTACTAGCCTCATGTCTTGAGAGCAGAAGTTAAAATGCTCTTGGCCACTACTGGGTGTGTTTAAAAATCTTTGGATCTATAAATATATTCATATTTAACGTTATATCTGCAATAATCAAAAATTCCCTATTAAACCTGCATGATCGTAATTGATTTTTAGGGCTACCTCCCCACTTCAAATAAACAATGCGTCATTCTTTATATAGTGACCATGCTCAAGGCCTCCAAAAAAAACCCACGCACATGTATGCACACTTGCATACAGTAAACATACAGAGTGAGAGCAGCAAAGAGACTCCAGGAGTGTATCCATGGCAGCCACTGAGCTCCTGGTGTTTCTGCTCCACTGAGTGGGCTGCCTGCCTGCCTGTCTCTCTGCCTGTCTGTCTGTCCGTCTGTCTGTCTGCAGGGACTGGCATGATTCACAGAGCAGGAAATCGAGACAGGATGCAGAGGTTAGCCGTGTTCCCTGATGAAACACCCCACAGCCTCAAGACTAACATGACTTGGACTCTTTACCCTGTGACATCCTACTCCTCCTCTACCTTAATGGTGTCACACATCACTCTCCCTGAGGCCTTTTTCTCCTGCTGCTCTGCTCTTCACGTGGGATTAGTTGGTGTAATTTACATAGTTAGAGAAGAGGAAAAAGAACTGTTCAAAGCTGAAAGCTGTAGGAGTTTATATAGTTTCCATTAACATGTGTGCCACGCATACACTACTACGGCAGTCTTTTTTTGTGGTGTTAATGTCCAAGATCTCAACAAGCCACATTCTCCAGATGCAGAATGGGCTATTGTGTCCCGGGACAGGGCATCAGCTTCAAAGAACTCCTGGCATGCAACCGTGCAACATGTGTCGTGCTTCCACTCCACCATCAATCTTTGTAAAGCTGGAGGGAGTGCAGTACCACTAAAAATACGAATGAATATGGTCTGCAACATACAGCTATGGGTTTACAGTGATTAGATACTATGACAAGTTTGCCAGAAGTCTGGTTTAGTGGGAAAGAGGGAAAATAAATTAAATCCTTTACTTAAGTTAATAACAATATATTTTTGTCAATTGCAAAAATTCTTATGAAAACACAAAATTTGTCAGTGCCGACATCAGTACTTTGTGACGTCCCCCCAGCTCTCAGTCTCAGGCACATTGTTTTCTACTGAAGACATAAATTTGTACAAACAACTTTCAAATATTGCTTCACTTTTTAAAAAGGGTAAATTTCCTAAATCAGCTGGGCACTGTAGTTTTTAGCAAATGTTATTCAAGTAGGATTAAATGGTATTTGTATTTGGGGACTATTTGTACTGCAGATTTGGTGGCCATAAGTATTAAGTAGTATCAAGAAAGGAATAATACCATAAAATTAAAAATAAGGGTGCTGCATTTAAAACTGTACTTCAAAATAAAAACATCGTAATGTGTGAAACAAATAAAAAAAATAACAAAATTGCTAAAATGCCATCAACATGATTATGTATATTATTATGTATTAAAGTGTTGAATATAGACATCATTAGCATTGTGAGAGAAAGGTGCAACCCCACTAACACAACCAACATTTCACAACAGCAGATGAGTGTGTCAACACCCCGCTATGTACAATTGTTAGGGTTTCACCAGACTCTATTATACTAATTAGTATAACAACAATATACTAATCAAAAAACACAACAATCTTGATTAGCTCAACATATGTGCCATCAGATAAATGTGATGGATTTCCCGAAATATAGTACAGACAAAATAGAAAAAGTCAACTTCAAACTGCACAACATTGCTTATGTAAAATTATTCTTATTTTTGGTTTCACCATGGTATTCCATAATGATGCCCACCCACACGCCACACATTTCAACTTTCTCCATTATTATCACTAAATAGCTGGCTGCACTAAGAAATTCAATCATGTTCAGAGCCATTAATCAGAGACAAGCAGACCACCAGCAGACCATGTTACACTTCCTACAGCCTGTCCAGAACCCGGGCAGCACTAACCTGATAACACAGTATAATAACATGTCCAGTTCACTTAGTAGCTAATGCAGCCAATGAGAAATGGTGTTGAAAATTCTGTGAAAATTTAGAAATGACAGGCAACAGGTATTATCTCCACGCAGTGTTTTTCCATTATTTATTTGTGAACTACACTCAGTGTAGTTTTAATTTGGCTAGAGTGCAGCGTGTTTTGCTGTAATAAAGTGGGTAAACAGGCAGCAGTCATTTTACACTTTAAACCAAACCACTGAGACTTTCCAAGGTTACATCATTTATTTTTTTGGGGAAAAAAATCTTATCAGACTGGTCTTGAAACAGAGCCTCTGGGGGAATTTAAGTTTAATCTGACTTTTGAATCCCCTTAAGGAGATCAGGGTGAGTGGATCAGACTATGGGTTTGGGACTAAAAGGGAAAAGAACATACTGTTTGCAGCCTGTTGAATGAGTGTTAAACTGTTAAAGCTGTTAGAGCTTAGGCCTAAAGTTTCACTGCAGTTTTCTGGCAGTAACAGCCAGGAAGAAGCTGTGTAACCATCCAACGAGTACTTTGGTTAAAGCATTATGACCCCTTGACAGTCCCTACAATATACGGACATCATACCATGAAAGCTACAACATATGTAGCTACTACTCATTAATGAAAAGTTGGATATAGTACGAAATAAATACTGATACGGATTATAATGAAATATCATAAGTCACTAAGGATATTACAGAAATATTTTACAAGCTCTATAATGATACTGAGTGAACTACTGCTAAAGGGTTTAATTTCTTATTTATGAATGTTGATATGCAGTCCTGCTGACTATTAATGCATCCTCTGCTGCCTTCATGAAATATAGCAGGCATAATCAATAACAAATTGAAAGTTGGTTATATTGGCTTGGTATATTTATGGCCATGGAATTCAAATTGGCTAAATACTGTAAGCCACTTAATGAAATGAGACACTAATACGGCTTAGCAGACGCATTTTGTTATTCACAGATGATGGAGGTAAAGTTTCTAAATATTTGTCTGAAGGCGGATGGATCTCAAAGGATGTTTTGAGTCCAAAACATTGCTGCATCTTTTGCAAAATTCTTGTATTAGGTTCACATTTCCATTACTGATCTGACTTAAATGCCTTTGTCTGATCTAGAAGATTAATTAGACTTCACACTCCAAGCCTTAACGGTCAACTCTGATTTATTGCTCAGATCCGATTTTTTTTTTGGTTTGGCTGTTAAGATTATTGGTTAAATGTGGCTCGTATCAGATTCCAGTATGAACAGGTCACGGTCCTGAAGTGAACCGCACAACAAATTTAGATCTAGAGTGACGTAAATGTCATATGAATTCTGATCACACTGAGGTCAAACTGCAAAAAAACTGTATTTAAATACAGGTCGTATTTGATTTGTACCACATATGAAAGTGGCTCATACCAGAAGTAAAAAAATTCCAGTGATTTTTGCAGTTCGAACGGT